TCACATAGCAATCAGCGTACAGGTGTAAACCGCTACCTGCTCACATAGCAATCAGCGTACAGGTGTAACCCGCTACCTGCTCACATAGCAATCAGCGTACAGGTGTAACCCGCTACCTGCTCACATAGCAATCAGCTAATTACAGGTGTAACCCGCTACCTGTTCACCTAGCAACCAGCTTACCTTAGTAAACAGCTTACCTAGTAACCATCTTACCTACTATCAGCTTACCTTATAGTCAGCTTACCGCAGTAGTCGCCTTTCACTCTAACCAGCTGCCAACTTACCTTGTAATCAACTTACCTTTTACCCAGGCTTACCGTATAGTTCCCAGTTTACCTTCTCACCAGCTACATAGAAAGAACGTTTGTCGTAAGCGCCACCTCTCGGCGGCATCCAACCAACACCTACTCCCACCCACTGAACTATAACAATATCAGATATGGTTATAGTTTAGTGCTCCCACTCCTACCTGCTCCCCGTCTTAGATAAAACCCGTACGTGCTTTCGCACGTTACTAACGATGCGCAAATGTGTGTACTCTATATTACACACTCCTGATAATGTCTAATGAACGCCCCTCTTGATACCTACACCGAGAACGTAAAACGCGAGTCTAGAACCAACCAGCGCTTATTTTTTCTTTACGAATTTTCCCCACAGCTGCCGTGCAGGGCCGCTGTGCCGACAACCCGTGCGTGAACGGACAGTGTATTGACGAACGGGGCGGCGGCTACCAGTGCCTCTGCCAGTCGGGATGGGTCGGCAGGAACTGCGAGCGTTCCGATCGCGTCTCCACCCAGAACGCGTGCGACAACGCCGTCTGTCACAACGGCGGCTCATGCGTGGACACGTCCCTCGGCACCTTCCTCAGATTCCGGTAGGTGGCGCTCGATCGATCGTCTCATTTCTGTGCATTCTTTCCTGTATGCCTATGTGTGTCGCATATATATATATATATATATTATATCTATTTATTTATTTATTTAATGATTTATTTATATGTGTATGTGTACATCGTACATACATGCGTGCGTGTGCTCGCGTGTGTGTATGTGCATCCATAGCATCATATAGATCTGCTGTAATGTGCTTTCTTCTACATAACAGCGTCATCGTGTGACCTGAACCCGTGTAAGAACGGCGGCAAGTGTCAGAACAAGCAGCGCTCGTTCGTCTGCGACTGTGACGGCACCTTCTACACCGGCCCCACCTGCGAAGTCCGTAAGTAACGAAGTACCTCAGTTTTGCCTTTATTTAGTGGAAAAGAAAAGATCTGGAAATAACAAATGAGATGAGGGGGGAGATAGATAGATAAATAGATAGATAGATAGATAGATATATAGATAGATAGATAGATAGATAGATAGATAGATAGATAGATAGATAGATAGATAGATAGATAGATAGATAGATAGATAGATAGATAGATAGATAGATAGATAGATAGATAGATAGA